AGGTTTGCTCACTCATCCTCGTGCACCCCCAGGCACAGCTGACAAGCACAGAGGCACCAGCAGAAGCCCTCAGAGACAGCCCCACAGACAGCCCCACAGACAGACAGACAGACAGACAGACACAACCCCTCCCTCCCTGACGGACAGACAGATGGAACCAAGCACACAACAGCCCCAGTGCCACTGTGCTCCCAGCTGGGGTGCCTCTGGAACTCTCACACGTCTGCAGGCCACGAGCAGCCCCCAGGGGCTCACCCAGCTCGGGGGGCACTGATAAGAGCACTGCTTTGCTGGCTGATGAAGGCTGAGCCACGCAGTTCCTTTGGTCTGACACTGGCAGGGGACAGGATGGAGGGAAAGGGCCCTATGCACCAAGGAAAAGTGAGTTTTCCTCCCTGACCAAGAGGAAGGAGGTCACATCAACACCTTTCCCAGTGACTCAGGGCCTGGCTGTTTTTCTCTCATTGCTTTGGGCACGGTGGCACAGCACAAATGGAACTTGATTGCCCCATTTGACACACAGCAACAAACAGTAATGAGCAGCTTTATTTGCCTGGAGGAGGGGACAGCAGGCTGTTAGTCACCTTTACAGTACTCAACTCCAGGCTGTGTCTGCTGATGTGGAAAGGAAGGAAATGCTACTCTGTGCTTGGGGCTACTTCTGGGATGATATAGTCCAAACCTGCTGATTTTTATTCAACTCCTATAAAATCTATTTCAAATTATAATAGGGGCTAATAATATTTACCATCTTAACAAATAATATTTACCATCTTAACATTTTCTTCTAAGGAGCTTAAATGGTTTTGCAAACCCTAATAATGGTACTTTTTTAGCACAAGGAATAATAGCAGTCTCTACTGATGGGAAGACTGAGGTTCAGGGATCTAATCAAAATCCAAGGAATATAATCCACAGACCCTACATCCCAGGCCTCATATATTATACCATTTTTCATCCTACTCCCCAAAAGTCATTCTTTGTCTTGAAGAGAGCTGGCACATGGTTGATGTGGTCTCTGCCTTGGAAGTTGTTTTTTAAGCAAAAGATTAAAAAGCCCTCTCCTCTTTAGTTACTTAAGAAGTGGCATAAGAGTGCCCCAAAACAGAAAAACTGGATATTCCAAAAATAATTTTGGGAAAAAAAAATAATAAGAAAAAAAATCTTCATTTTGTGGCTAGGATGTTGTACAGCAGTCACTGAGAGGAAAGCTCTGAAAATGCAGCTTCAGAGTCATGCAATTTAAAGGTGAATTTGGCAGAAACTGTGCCTTTCTGAGGTTTTCAAACACACCAGCACAACCCCTGAACCCATCAACAACCATTCACTGCACAAATACACATGAAATACTTGTGCTCCCATTCACACTCTTTTCCCCTCACACATGGATTTCTGCCTGGACACTCTCCCTTGGATTTGTAGCCCATACAGGCATCCGAACACACTCAGGGACACGGAGCACAATTAATGGAGTGCACACTCAAAGACCCACCCATGCACACTCACATGCATCTTAAAGCTTTTGCTCTGGGAAATTCCTCTTCAAGAAATGGAAATAAATATCTAAAGTTAAAAACAAAAGACAAACCAGAACGTGGGGAAACCACACAAACAAAAGCAAGCACGTACCTACACACACACACACACACAGTGGAGGCTGCCCACAACTACAGCTCTGGGTTTGCCTGCCCTGGTCTGCTGAACCTCTCAGATTTCAGGCTGATGAATCCATGGCTGCAGGTCAAACTGGTCTGTGCCAGGGATCTCCATCCTCCCTCCTAGCTGACCACAGTAAGAACTGACCCTTCACTCCAAGAGCAGCACCTCCCAAGATCCTACACCCTTCAGCTTCTAAGGAGTTAAACAGAAATATTTTACCTGCACCTGACCAGTCTCAACATCTCCTATTAACGGAGCTGATTGACGTTTTTGGGGTTTATTGTTCCTGTCATTTTCGGAGCCCAGGTGTCTCAGAACAAGACAAGACAGAGTACAGAAACACAGGGCAGGGCTGGCTCAAGCCCACAGACAGCGAGGAAGCAACAAATCCCCGAGGAGATGGGAGAAGTGTGTCTGAACATCTGCCTCACTCTGCTGGGGAGGATGACAATCGTCCGGCCAAGGTGGGCTGCTACTTCCAAAGCCCAATTCCTACAAGGTGTAACATACCAAGTGCTGCTAGCAGGGAGGGAATCTGACAGGACAAACCGACATACAGAACATTCTCTTATTCAATAAGGGTTATAAAAAGTGCAAAGGGATTTCAGAACATTTCAGAACAAACTCAATCCAGAGCTGCCGCTTATTTATCAGCGCATCAAAAAGGTTGTGCAAGTTTTTAGTAACAAACATTAGAAACTAGTAGCAAAGGACTTGCCTAGATAAAAAGAGAAGATTTAAACATGCCAGGTAACAAAAAGACGTGTGCAGAGATCTGTAAAACTGTATAGAAGGAAAGGATTCTTTAGAGGAAACAGAGGGACCATCACACAACGCTCTTCACAGCCCTTACTGAAAGAGCCAGGGCCAGCCCTGCTGCCTCCTCACCTAACACAGGTGCCTGTTGTTTGGGCAGAGGAGTGCCCACATTTTTCATAGGCTTCTCTAAGGGAAAACTGGATTTTGGGCCTTGCCTGACATGAACTTGTGCTGAGAGAGAGCCTTGTCACTGGCAATTAAGCACAGCAGCATGCGCAGCCCTGGAGACTGAAGATCACAACAAGCAGCAGCAGCATGACTGTCTGGACAAGATGCTGAGAAGGAGTGTGATTTATACTGCTTAAATTTGATGTCTGGGAGCTGGGTGTCTAGACAAACCTAACAAACCTAGACACTCACCAGTCACTGGTGGGCACCTCCAAATAGCAATTTATTTCCCTGTCACTGACACGTCCAGGGTGCCTGGGGAGGGAAGAATCCCTCACCACTAACAGCAAGAGGACACCTGGGTGTCTCTCTTCCTCTCAGACAATGGAAGTTAATGAGGACAATCTGAGAATCTGAATTTCTTCAAAAGGACCCAATGGATTTTCCTGCAGCCTGGGATTTTTTGACTATTTATGTACCAAAGCACAAGGAATTCCTTCCTTTCTGCTTAGAAGACTTTTGTATGGATTCAAATACAGCAGTCAGGGAAGTCTTACTGTTGTTTAATAGGATTCATTTCCAGTTAACCATGTTTATTCCCTCCAGTGCCACCAACAGTTCTCCCTCTATGGATGAGAACTGACCTTTTAAACAATCTGAAGGCTGTTGTAAGTTTCCCTGCTTAGTTTGATTGTGACAAGTGTGGCAGAGAAAAGGTTTTAATTTCACTCTTAAAAATTAACAACCTCAGCCTCATTGTAACATCCCTCTGCAAAGTCAGCCTAATATTAATATCCACCTAGAAAAAGGGTAACCAAAATTGTTTGCAACATTCTGTGGGAAGTGTTGTAAGCAACTTTTGTCGTCCAGAAAGTAAGACATTTAAGAGGTGAAAAATAAAAGTTGCTTTTTAGTTAAAAACTATTTTCCATTCTTTCAAAAGATAAGGAAAATAAACTAGTTTAAAAAAATAAAAATTCATTTATTCAAAATCAAGATGTTACAGCTTGAATAAATAGTCCTGTTTCACAATAAAAAAAAAAAAAATAGAAAAAAAAAAGAAGTTGAGCAGAAATTAAACTAGAACCAAGATATGAAAATATTTTGTTTGGAAAGTTCCAAGTAAGGCATTTTTATTTTTCAAAATGCTACCTAATTCTTTTCCCTAAACACAGCACTGAGTGAGAACTATGCTGTCACTTTTCTTCTTGCAATGGGTTGCCTTTACAGTACACAACAATTCCAAGATGGAATGTCTATTCAACAGCCATATAATTTTGAAAATTCACTACTAATTTGAATTCACTACTAATTTTCTGTTCCTTAACCTATTTGCAGCAATTTTCCTTCAATCTTCCTATTTTCCTGGCCTTTATAAGCTGTTTCTTTCAGTGTAATTTTTGTCCATGCTCATAATCCCATCATAGTCTTTCTTTTGGAAATCTGTGCATTTCCTGCCTGTCCTTTGCCTATTTATCCTATAATTATAGGATAAATAACCCTATATCTCCAAAAAAAAGTGATATAGGAATTTTTTTTTGCCTGGTGTGATTTATTTCCTGCACACCAGGTGCTCATTTCAGTCTCCGTGGCTCTCTCAGTCCTTCACCTGTCTGAGATGGGCACGAGTGGGGCCAATCAGTGCAATCCGAGAGATGGAGCAAATCAGGTTGCAAACAAACCAAGAAAAAAGGGTTGGAGCTCTGGTGCTTTGTTTTCCTTTGAGATTTCTGCTTTGTTTTTATTTTACCTACCTTTTTTTATTTTATTTTTTTTTGTCAATAATTATTTTCACATTTGAAAGGGAACATTAGGAGCAGGTCCCTCTTAGCAGAGGTGATTTGGTGTTTATTCCTGGGTGAGGAGGCACAGGGGGGGAATTCCTGTTTTGGTTCCCTCAGTTCCACCTCGAAAGAACTGACCTTTATCTGTCTGTGGGGTGGAGAGTATTGAACTGCCATGGGAAACAAAGCATAACACTGGGCAGACCAAAGTGCTGGCCTGGGATTATTCGAGCAGCTTCCCATGGCACAAAGAGCTTTTTCACTTACACTCCACATTCCCCATCACTTTTCCTGCTATACAGTTTAATTCATGCCAGGCGGATTATGAAGGGGAGAAAATGATGCAACAATCCAAAAAAAAAGTCCTTTAAGTCGTTCAAAAAAGAAAAAAAAAATAAAAAAATAAATTAAACCAGAATAAAAGCAAACCAAATAAAATGAAAAAAAAAAAAGAGAGAAAAAAAGGAAAAGAAAGAGCTTCGAAATGAAACAAAAAATTCTGAAAATAAAAAAGAAAGGAGGGAGGGGGAGAGAGAAAAAAAAATAAATAAAAAAATAATAAAAAAGAACCCGGGAAAGACAAATGAATGTTAGAGCAGGCACGATCATGGACAGACGCCAGCTACTTACGTTCACCTCGGTGATTGCTATATCAACAATGCTACCCACAACAATCAAGGCGTCAAATGTATTCCATGCATCACAGAAATAGTGCTGCATGTGGCAGAGAAGCCAAGGAGAGAGAGAGAGAGAGAGAGAGAGAGGAAAGAAGGAAGAGGAAGAAAGAATGAGAGAGAAAAGAGAGAAGGGAGAGAAAGAGGGAAAGGGAGAAAAGAGGGGGAAAAAAAGTAAAAAGTAAAATAAAAATAAAACGAAAATAAAAACAAAACAAAAGCATGAAAGAGGGAGAGAAGAGGAAAAAAATAAGAAAAGAAAGAGGTTACGTGGGCATATTAAATAGTCTCTTACCACTCTACAGTATTGGTTGCTCAAACCTCTGTAACGTTTCACATGATGGAGGGGATCAACAAAAGCCTGGTTAGTCAGAAAGTTACACTCAAGCATGTCTACCTTTTGGAGGGAAAAAAAGCACACACACCCCAAACTCTGTGCGCTTTCACCAGTCACAGCCTTGGGGCCAGCTATGACAAGTGAAAAAGAAGGAGGCATTTCCCCCCCCTCCTTTTTTTTTCCCTGGGAGAAGGAGAAGGACGACGGCAAGTTCAATAAAAGCATGACTAGAGGGAAAAAAAACCAGAAAACAAAAAGAGAGAGAAAAAAAGAGAGAAAGAGAGAAGGAACAGCAGAGGAGGAGGAGGTGGTGGTATCCTGGGGAGGGTAGAGTAATACTCACATTAGTTTCACTGAGAATGACGTCTATAATGCTGCCAATTACGATGAGGAAGTCAAAAACATTCCAAGGATCACTAAAGTAACCCTACATAAGGAAGGGGCAGGCAGGATGGGGATTAAAAAGGAATGTTAGACAGACAAAAACAGTTCAAAATTACCATTAGAATTTCTGCCCTGATACCTCAAGGGGTTTTCCTCTTAAGTCTACTTGTTGTGTCTCTCAAGCTGTGGCCCAGGCCTGGGTTCTTCCCTGGCTGGTGTGAGCAGCCCCTCTCCAGCTCATGAGATTCCAGAGAAGCCACCCCTCCCCTCCAACTCTGAGACAGGGGCTGAAGGGAAGTCACACAGATCATTTTGAGTGTGGCTGCTGCCAGGAATGGGGCTTGCAGGACCAGCTCCTCCATTCCTGGCAGCGCAGCACCCTTCCCATTTGACTCGGGAGGGGGGAGAGTACGGGAATAGCGTAACGAGGTTTCCTCAAAAAATGGGAATGTCGGTGTCAATCCCCCAGTCCGTGTTCCAGCTGCAGTGCCTGCTGTGCCATGGAGGAGGAGAGGGCACAGTCAAGCTGGGGATGTGCTGTCTGAATCTCACCTTTCTCTTTACCCAGCCACAACTGTTAGGACTAACAGTTCCTTTCAGTGATGCTTTAGGTCCTGTCTCAGTAATCCAGAGCAGGACCGCTATCTCTGTTACTCTGAGAGCACACCTGCACCACAAAATGCAGCTGTGAATGCAGCCTGGCTCATCCCACCAGGAGGGGGTGAGAATGGCAGCAATGTTGGCTTTAGCATTGCTCAGAACCAGACCTGCTGCTCACTCCTGCTGAAAACAGCGCCCCAGCAGCGCTGTGGCCTTGGCTGTCCAGGAAAAGTGGTGGCTGATCCCTTCAGGGGCTATCCCAAACTTCTCATTGTCCTAAGAAGAGCTCAGGAGATGCCAATCAGCACTGCTTAATTTTTTGGTGGATAGGCTGCAAGGACAAAGGATCCTTTTGGGGAAGGTCCTGCTCAGCCAGGAGATGAACCTCTGTACGTAAACTTCCTCTACAAGTCAATGTCATGAGCAAAGAAATTTTATCTTGCCTCACTGAGCACCTGGGCCTATCTCTTGCCCTTCTTCTGCAGTCTTAAAAAGAGGCAAAGACACAAAGTCCTCCGTGCTCCTTTCATGTGTTTGGTTTTGTGAGCATGGGCTAATCTGACCTCCCTGTTTCCCAGCTGCAGCTTGTCTCCTGTGAGACTGAACCCGAGTTGCACTGTGACTGCTATTCTTAGTCCAAGAGTCAGGTCATGGGTAAAGTGTGAGCCTGTGTTCCCAGGCACTGTTGCAGAAAGCAAAAAGGAGAAAAGAAAAAAAAAAATTAAAAATGAGAAAAAAAAAGATTATCCCAGTGCTGGCACTGTACAAAGTCAGGCTTGGGAACCTCAGATTACTGTGGGTTCAGCCATCACACGGGGCAGGAACTGGCAAAAAGTGTCTTCCTATCTGCTGAAACACTGCCTCCATGAGACTTTGAGACTCACAGTTATGAACAACAGTACACTTTGGGCAAGGGAAAAAAAACAAAAAGAAGAAAAAAGAACAAATGAAGCAGAAAAAAAGCCACTGCCCTGCTGGTTCCATGCCAGTGAAGGGAGCTGGTAGAGGGGACTTCAAAATCTTCTCCTCAAAACCAGAATAAATTCTGCAGCCTGAAATAGGCAACTCTCTTAGCAGATCTACACTGGAAAGAGCAACCATCCCATGGCCAGACATTACTACACAATTAGCTACAACAGGGAGGAAGCAAACAGGAGCAAAAGCAAATTCAGAGAATATTATTATTCAGCGTCCAGCCTAGAAATACACAACAAATATTAGAATGAATTCAGCGGTGATGTCCAGCATCATTAGCAACCAGATGGACCTGGAATAAAACTGTAATTAGACTTCACCAAGAGGAAGGGGAGGGAGAGAACAGCAGATTAAATTGTAGAGGCAAACACATTTTGAATAAATAAAGGACAGACACAGATCATACAGAGTTACACAAAGTGCCTTTGCAGCCTGGTGTGACCTTGGCAGACAGTGCACTTGCAGGATCAAAGAAGAGAGTAGAAGACAACAGACCCAATCCTCCTGCCCCTGTCCGTGGGCACAGTCCTGCAGAAGGCAGTGGCACTGCCCACGTGCCAAATGAATACATGCCTTCAATAGCATGCTTCTCTTCTATTTCCTCTCCAATTGCATGGTTTAGGAATTAGTAAGGATTCCAGCAGGAATCCAAACAACTTTAAAAAAAACCCCAAGAGTTTGATTTTGGGCAGCTGCAAGGGTAAAGATCCAAAGCGTGTTGTTTTGATGATGACTTTTAATGATTTTCGGTATTTTTACTGTGATTGGCATGGTACTGCAAAGAATGTTTTTGGTGCAACCAAATTCACAGATTTCTTTTTTTCTGAGCAGCTTCTTACATAGAGCCCAATAATCATTGCTCTGGTAAAACAGCATTTGCTGTTGATACAGAGCCCAGGTGACAAGTGGCACCAAATCCTGTCCTCAGATGACCACCAAAGCCAGTCAGCTGTAGATTGCTCCTAGGAGTAGTAATACAAACTCACTGGAAGCAATGACACTGCACATCTCAGGAGAGATTCAGGCCTGGAAAGAAAAGGTCCCTTTTTCATTGCCATCAAAAACAGCTGTTTTGGAGCTCTGGGAAGCCACAGTGGATCTGGAGTCACTCTGCTGACTTCAACAGTGTTGCTCCAAATTTACACTGCGAGTTCCTTCTCCTGGGATGCTCTACTGAGTCTCAGCAGCAAGATCCTTGCTTGGAAGTCATGGGGTGGTCTGCTCTGGGATCCCAGGAAAAGCATTATCCCAGTTTGTTATCGTGTGGCTGTCAGGGGAACTCAGCTCTTCTCTTCCTCCTGTGTCTCTTGGATGAGTGAGAGAGGAACCATGGATATCAGTGCAGTTTTACTCAACCCCAGGTCCAAAATGCCGGTGTTGAATTAAGGAAACACATGAATTTTAAAACCTTCCTTTCCTCCTCACCTGCTCCCTCTGTGTTTCAAACAGAAGGGTGAAAAACAGGAAGATATTATTCACAGTAAGAGAGCTCAAGGAAACAGAGAACACAGATGCTTCATTGGTGTGCAAGGTGATGGAATCCTTGCCTGAAAAGGCACCCACCCTCCTCAGGGACCATTACCTACAAATGGCCATGTGGGACTCAGCTTTGGGTCAGACCTCATAACCTGGTCACAAGTTATGGGTGTGTAATGAGAGTGAGCTACACCCCTCCAGGACCTGCCTCTTGTGACCTCAAAGTCTCTCTTCAAGCCACATTCCTCCCTGGAGTGTACCAGGGTGGCTCATGAAAGACAAACTGAATGAAGGAAGAGCTTTCACTCTAATAAAGAGGTTGTATTTCCAAAATATTTTTTCCCACCAGAAAGTTCTGCATATTTTTCCCAAGAGGGTGGAGGTCTGACTGGAAATGAATTGATGGCACTGTTTGTTTTTGCAGTACAGGAATTTAGAGTGTGATGCCATATTTTACCCATAAAGGGAGAAGCCTGACCCTGGTTTAGCTCTAACTGCATGCCACATCATGGCATCCTCAGGGGTTTACTGGGGAATGGTAGTCACCCTCTCTTGTGGGATGTCTTTGGAGATCCATGAAGCTTTTGGGGAGAAAAGAGGACAGAGAGAGACCAGGAGGATTGGATTGAATATTCAGGAAGCATGAAATAGCCCCACCAGTAGAGCACATTTTTTCCCCATTTTTTTTTTTCCCCCCAAAGGTAGCAAATGATAATGTATCACCACATGATCAATAAGTTAATGAAAGGCTGAGCATAAATATGCAGTAGCTGACTGGAATGGAATCTCATTTGTGCAAGAGGAGCAGACATTTCAGAACGAGCATGCCAATCACTTTTAGGTTTCCTAGTTGCTGATATTAGCTGTTAAAGAAACTGGTTTATTTAGGTGCTAGACGAGGCATTGGCGTCTCTGGACATCATTTCTTCTACTTTTTGTGAATATGAGATCCTAAACAGGACACCTAAGAAGCCTCAATAATGACAACAGGCAAAATTGCCGAAGGGAATCTGAAGCTCAGAGTCACCTGGAGCCCATATTAAGAATATTTGGTAGCTGGAATGCTGTGCATCCACACTGAGGCACACAAGTCCTCAGGGGAAGGGTGCTGTTGAGTCATGGTGCTGGCTGGGTTTTGAGCATCGAGCCCTGTGGGACCTGCAGGGTCACTTGTGTGTTTGTTTTTTTTTTATCTGCTTAGTCACAGGTTTTCATTTCTGCCTCTTCTGAGGCGGCTGGAAAAATTTAGCAGGTCCCTCTGAGAAAAAAAGTCTCTAAAGATGAGGAGCACATCAAGGTCAGGGCTGATCACTGGGTGGGATCTGGATGCAGGTGGGATGGTCCCCAGTGGAAGGTGATGCTGCAGCAGGAAAAAGGGGAAGGACATGCATAGGTGCATGTTTGTTTTTATGAATACAGGAGTGAAGCATCGAGGAGGAGGAGGAACTAAGACACAGAGATAACTGCACAGCCTACAAGGAGGGAAAAATGCAGGATGACCTTGCTACTGCTTCTCTGAAATAATCCTGAGTGCTAAAACAACAGAAAGGAGCATCAAGTCTCAATCAGCTGAAGAGAGTACATGGGAAGGAGAGAAAGGGGCTGATACCCTGATACTCAATGGGATTGCTTAGCAAAAATTTCCTGCTGATTGTAAAGGTCAAAGCAGACTTTTCTGGGGATTCAGCCAGTGCTAGTCTGGCTGATGTTTAGTTAATACAAGGATTCATTTTTGGAAATGCTGTGGGCTGTTTAGGGCTGTGAGAATCAGTTCTCGCACTTCATTAAAAGAGGCTTTCCCTGAAAGTACTTTTGCAAAAGGGACAGTTTTGAACCAAAGGACATTTACAGGGTTCCATGGCTCTTGGCACACGCTCTCAACAGCAGATTTTGGGGGATTCACGTGTGCCCTGAACAATCTCACACAGCTACAATAGCTCCTGACACGGAACGGAGATGAGTGTCAGATGCAAATTCTGTTGTGCTGAGATA